GTGTATTGTGAATGGGTGCGATATCCTACGCATGAGTGGAAGCTGCCTTCCTGCACATTCGATTGCCGTCAATGGATGGCAATCGATGTCCGTCGGTGATTGGCACTAGATTGCGGAACAGAGACCGACGTTAAATAAAGGAAAGAAGAATGATGTAGCTATTTGTCAAGACATCATGAAAAGTTTACATCAAGTATTTTTTACGTTGCATATGAGTGGATATTAAAAAAAGGATTCATATTGAACTGCAACAACACCGCAACGATTTGTCAACATAACTGCACCATTACGTATTATCGATGGTATCCATGTTTCAGTTATGTTAAAAATAAGCAGCAAATGCGTAGTTTGAACAATCATAGAATTTGTTGAGTATGTGCGTGCTTTAAACGTCACTTGTCAGTAGCAATGTGACATCGAGTGATAGCGACATCGGTGCAGCTCCTCCGTCAGCAGCCATCAGGTTTTGGCATTTTGAGCCACTAGTTCTGGCAATCCACCGGCTATTTGGTGCCGTTTCCAGTTCGCCAGCAGTTCCGGCAAATATGAGCTCCGTCTCTAACGGATCCTCAACATCTCCGTTCGGCGGTATTAACATATGTTCTGCCCCCAGCTCACGCAACAACCAATCCATCGTCACCTCAGGCTTCTCACCGTTCTATTTAGCCCTTTAGAACACCCGGTCGGTTGAGAGACTACGGCCACGCCAGCCGCTGTTGGCATCGTCTTTAGTTACAATCGTCCCCCGCCATCCGTAATCCTATCGTCCTCATCGTGGTCTTCTATTTCCTATGCAGATGTTAGCAATGTTGTCCAAAAATAGTATACAACATCAAAGTGACAAGACATATTTTAGCCATGGTAGATACTAGATGGTTACAACAAACCTTTACAGTGACAACTTGGTTCAGTTGGTTGCAAAACGAAGTTTGAAAACTTATAGATTCATGCGCTTAATTGGAACAAGATTGCAAATAGGTTCTTCAACACATCTTGGTTCGTCAACTTTTTAGTAACATCGTGAAACAGTTGCTCAATAGGTACAAAAAACATATAGTTCACACTCTGTCGCACCAAAGTTTTAAGGAACATAATGTTTTATGGAACTCTCATTCAACAAACACAACACAAGCTAGATTTGTTGCTCAAGTGTTTCATACAATATCACGTAGCATATAACTTCATATCAATTTGAGTGTAACATGTTTGCTCCTCCCATTTGAGGCATGATTTGACAGGTCATCCAAGCAGTACATTGAAACAGTTGAGTTTCATTATTGTGACCTGAAGTAAATGAAGCATCAATGTTGAAACTTAGTCGTATCAAGATGTATTTTCTGTACCATTTAAAGGATTTCTGGGCAACTTAAATAAAAAAAATAAAAGAATTGAGATGTTTTCTGTGTTGCTTGGGAAGGGGGGTGGAGAGGTTGTTTTAAGGGGGGAAGGGTTGTTGTTAAGAGGGGGAGAGGTTTTACATGCATAATTTTCCAAGTCTCATTCCTCATTGTGGTGGTCATGGTCACGCTGTGGTCCACTTTTAGCCGCTGACTTGGTCCTGCTTGCTGCAGGACCTAGTGCTACGCCGTCCGAAGTGGTAATGAGCAGAGTCAGGAAAGCAGCGCTGTTTTATATCTTATTTCTTGAAGATATCGCTGCTTGCTACAAATTCTGGTATTTTTTTTATTAATGGAGCTTTGTTGATGTTCTCTTATCAACTTAGCTAAATTTTCGCATTTTGTTAAGTTCTTGAAATCTCCATGATATAACACCCTCACATTTTTCAGATGGTCACATAATTTTTATCACGTTCCAGAAATTCTCTCAGAGCTGTGCTGACGTTTCCTGAAATTCCCCGGGTTTCTCGAAACTTTTTCAAGGTTTCTACAATTTCCTTGAAATTATTTGAATTGCCCTTTGATCCTCTGATCTGTCTAGTTCTAGTTCTGATTCTAGTGAATAACTCGGTTCTGCTCGGAAATAAATGGAATTTCCGTAACACCTTTAAGTTTCCCTGAAAATCTTTGGACTTGTGTGAAGTTTTTGAAATATTTCTGAAGTTTTTTATAAATTCTCTGAAGGTCTCTGTACTTCCCTGAAATTATCGGAACATCTTAAGGGTTCTCAATTTTGTTTTCACCACATCCTGGAACTAACTTGAATTTTTCTAAATTTACCATTATAGATCTTTAAACTGCTCAAAAACTCTGGACTAAAGTTATGGAAACTACTCTTAAGATCTTAAATTCCCCAAAGATCTCTAGATCTAGCTTCTCTGAGGTGGTTAGAACTTCTTAAATATTTGCACAATACCCCTTATGTTTTATATTTTTCTCAAGTACGCTTGACATCTGTGAAGTTCTCTTAAATTCTAGGAATTTCCTGGAAATGTTTGGAAGATGAAAGAACCGCTTTGAGGTTCTGAAGGCTTCCAGTAAGTTTCCCATATGTTCAGCGTGTTAACTTCCCTTTTATTCCCGCAGTTTGTTTATGGAGCTTCACTGTAATTCTCTCTCATTCCTCAAAACTTCTCCAAAGGTTTTACAATCGTCCAAATTGAGTAACTGTTGAGCTTCAACATTCAATGGATTTGATTCTAAAGCTGTTTCTTTAAAACTGATTGCCATGCCTTAAAAAGGTTTGGGTTAATTGCAGTTGTTTGTGATCTACCAAAGAAATAAGCGTATTTTTAACGCATTTATAATATTTCTTTTTATAAGCCTGGAATTTATCCGTTAAATTTCTTGAAAAACCTGGAAAATTCCGGTAATTTTATTTAGATAAATGAGTAGACAACCTGTAGATAGAGATATACGATTAAACGTCACAAAGCAAAGCATGATCAATCTTGAAATGGGTTTATGCTAAAACAAAGTTGAAAATAGCAACTGATTACAAGAACTTAGTGGTGCCGGTGGTGTAGTGGTAAGCGTGATTGCCTCTCATCCCAATAGGCCTGGGTTGAATCTCAGTCGGCGCCGCCGGGATGTTCTGAGGCATAAAATCTTTGATCACGCCTTCCATCGGAAGGGAAGTAAAAACGTTGATGGGTCGATAGGTACCGTTCCGATTCAAATTTCGGACGATTCAAATTTCGGACATTTTCATTTTTAATTAAATATTACATCCAGTTAGAAACAAAGTAATAATGTTAGATGATCGTGGAGGGCACTAGTCAAAAAAATTTAAAATTTACAAGACATGTGGATCATATTGGACCGAGATAATCAACTTTTAAAAGTGTCCGAAATTCGAGTTTAAGTGTCCGAAATTTGAATCGGCACGGTAGGCTCCAGGTGTAAGAGCTGCCTTCCTGGCGTCGGTAGCAGTACCAACAGTACTCAGTATGGAAAAAACAAGATCGAAGGAAAACAAATCAAAGGAAAAAAATGAAAGGGACTTTAGTGACTTGGCCTTAAAAAAGGAGACTTTTTAGTGACTGGCTTGAAAAATGTTACCAAGTACCTAAAAAATGACTCGCTACCAGCCCTTTGGTTTACCGAACCACTGCAACGAGCCAAGACTACGTTCTACATACAACTCCACTACAGCTTAAAAAATTATGCTACATTCTATTGCCTTCTGGAATCCAATCCACACCTTACAATTTGCTAGATAGTCAGTCTTCCACAATGCTTTGATAGATTTGTTGACCTGCAGAGACTCCAGTAGCATTTTTCGAAGTCACCAGTAATACTGAGCCTCTGATAATTATAGATTACCTTTTCTGTGTGTTTTTCTAAATTATTCAAATGTTATAAAGAAAAAATTACTCTGAATACTCGTCATATTCTCATTTCTCCTAGAAACGGGTATGAGGATCGATTCAATGAGTTCAATCAGATTTACCCTCCAAATTTGATAGAACTATATTACTCAACTTCGATTCTTTCCCAATGCATTTTAATAACTCAGGAAAAGTTTCTCGTTGCAGATTCTCTTTCCCTCGTTTCACGGTTGCAATTGTTCACCACCACCAGCTAGCAATTTAAGTTCATCACATTTCTATGGACTTTGGTCGGTTGCTTACTCTGCTGCTCCCATTCACAATCCGGAAAAATAATCTTCCTCGGGAAAGTATTCCTTGTCGTTTTCCTTCTCCCCCTCGCCCTGCTCCATCAACCGGCCCTAGCTCGTGATTCAAAATGCTCCGAGAAGCATCTGTCTGCCTGTTCGAAATGAAAAGAAGAGCTATGTATGAGCTGAATTAAAAAAAATATATACAACGTGACTGGCATGAATCATCCCGATCGAAATGAAAATACCTACTAACAATCATTTCGGTGGGCACTGCTGCTGCACTGCATTACCCTCCCCCGCTGGATGTGCTCCGATCCGAAAGCCTAAAGGTGAACCTAGAAGGCCAACTAATACTACAAATCCGCGCGTGAACCATCGCCGCTTGGATGGAAAGGAAAACCCCGGAGGGAGAGTGAATTTTCCTTCACTCCACTTCCTTTTCGTTCGAAGGTAATGAAAGATAATTTGGCTTAACGGATCTTGGCTTTTCGGATCTGCAACTCTTCCTTGCCGTTTTCACAACTCCCCCTTGTTTCCATTCTCGTCCCAGTAAGAAACCACCTCTAGCAGACGGCGCGAGTGATGTTGGCTTGATTGTCAGTCGCGTAGAGTACGTGAGCGTTGTGGTGGTGCTTCCAGCTTTCACCCGTCGTCGTCGTCGAGATCGAGATGCGGGAAAACACGCGTTCCGGGTAAACGAAGAATGAAGGGAAAGCAACAGAACATAAACTCCATTGTACGGTTGTTTCACTTCTGTCAATATCTGTTATTTCACGTTTAATGAAAAAGACAGACAAACTTCATTGAATTCATGATGAATGAGGTACCCGCTCGCCGAGAACGTTGGGAAAAAGGGTAGAATATGATAATATTTCAGGGAAAGGTTTGATTTTCTTACGAGATGTTCCCCACGTGAAAAATTGAATTCTGATTGTACATGATTTAATTTACTCCTTTTTTCTGTTCTCATTCTATTGCAGCGGTTTTGGAAGATCCTGAATTCACAGACATCATAGAGAACATTACAGTCCCAGCAGGAAGGAATGTTAAACTGGCGTGTTCGGTGAAAAATCTGGGCTCCTACAAGGTGAGATTACTCTCAACTCGACTCTGATCGATTTTCAGAATACAATGCAATAAATTTAAACCTGTTTCAAGAAACAGTAGAACCCTCCAAAAGTGACATTATCGTTCAGAGCAGCACAGCAATCGTACAGCAATGGACATTGGGCGGAAGAGAAGGGATATCTGCAAATGTCCAATTCATTTGCTTTCTTTTGGAGATTCGTTGCTTCCGACACTGCACTTGTCCGGCTTGGATTCGCCCTTTCCTCTTAGCAGCCCCATCGAATTAAGTTCGATCTTGTCGCAGATAATTTATTTCTTATGGCTATTTGCAGTTGAAATTAGAATGGGTGGAAACGCTGCAAGTCGCAAAAATAGCGAGGAAAAAATCGCAAGAGCTTGGGAAATTATACCAAGAATCTTTCCGAAGGGGAAACAAAAGAAAGAAACCCTTATCATGGAACCGATGGTCGCAAACGTATTGAAGACGCAGCTGCCGTCATTGTTTTTGTACAGTCCTTGCGGGTGTGATTGTGTCAGTGCTTTGTAGAGTCCGAAAGTTTTTTTTTTTCATTTTCGTTTTCGACTTGAATTACAGTGCAAAATAGGAGATTGGTCCTTAATTACATGCCTTAATAAGTCAGAAAAGGCACCCCGTACCAGACCATATGGGAACATCCTAATTCATGTGTTTTTATCTTTTCCCTACGTTACTGTAATAAAATTCCAGATACCTGAACTTTAAGAAAAAATAATCAGCTACAAATTCGCCAAAGACCGTTTTTTTCATGAAAGGTTCTGGTTGTTAAAAATGGAACCTTCTCCTGACCTGATTGTTTTAACAACCACTTAATAAATAGTATACAACTACACACTTAGAAATAACTATTTTTCATAAATTAAATCACCAAAAAGGTTATCTTCACACACAGACACACACACAGAAAAAAAAATCATGTAAATTTAGGTGCTCTGAGACTGACATACACGAGCTTCAATTTTGACATAAATTTGAGTCATAACAGACGCGAAATATAGCTCAATCAAACGTACTCTTCGTCGAGCAACGAACTTTTCAGTCTCAGAGCCAGAGCTGGTAAACATCACGGCCGTCATGTGACGATGAGAAAATAGGTCCTCTCACTATCACGAGACGAAACTACCTATCATTAGCTTTATTGTCATTTTCAATTATCAAGCATTCATGAGAATAATTCTTATGCGGTTTTGACATCAACATTTCTAACTGATTTAGATGAATTTAAACAAACCACGGTATGTAATCGGTAGAGTGAATGTATTATTAAGATTTCCTCGGTACAAGTAACTTTAATAGCATTAAATGAGCTAGTAATTACGATGATCACTACATTGTCACGTTCTATCATGACAAAAAATTCGATGGGATTTTGAAGAAAATCTCTATCATCGTTTTCTCATCCAATGATAGTGACAGAAGCATCTCTGTAAATATCGTGCGAGATCTTTCATTGAAAATGACATTTACCAGCCCTGCTCAGAGCACTTAATATTACATGACATGTTTGTTTACGTCTCATCTTTTATGTCAAATATGGATTCCGTAGCGTGTTAAATTAGTTTTTTTTCCTACTCATTATTTGTTCCAAATTCAAAATAAATAAACAAATCATTTTAACCTAGGTTCTCCATTTAATACAGTATATTACCAGCCTTTATTGTTATGATATATATCTAAGTGTTTTACATTGTTCATGCCTTGGCAATTCAGTATTTAAAACAGGTTTTTCAAACCTGCATGTCAGTATAATAATTGAAATCTTAGCACTAAAAACTAAAACTAAATCTTATCTAAGTATAAAGGGAATTAATCATTTCAATTGAGGATTGCAACGATTTTTGCCTGAAATTATTAATTATTTTGTTGGACATTTGTTCCAAAGTCCCAACATTCGAAATTCTATGTAGGGTTAACTACCCCATTTTCGGCCTATTAAGCGCAACCCGCACTTAATCTTTCTAAATCTAGCGCGATTTAGCACGGAATGTTATTATTATTGATGGTTTCCAAATTTATTTACCTTTCCGTACATACCGTAAGATTTGAAAAAGATAAACCAGTCGTTGAGATATTGTCAAAAGTCTAACACTGCTTCTTGACGCCAAACTCGGCCTACGGATTCTAAACTCGGCCTAACGCATTGAAACGCCATTGAAACGCCACTTCGGCCTATCGGATGAAGATAAAAATTGATTCGGTCGGAGCGCTTCTTTTGTTTTTGGGAATAATGAGTGCAAACCTTCATACCACGCGTTCTCATTGACTTCGTTTCATAGTTTATTAACTAAAGTATCGTACAAAACACATAATTGACTTGTTAACTCTGAAATCATGGATTTATTTGAAGTTTTCTGCTCGATAGGCCCAAAATGGGCGATTAGGCTGAAGTAGTTCTCTACCCTACCTCGGTAGTACTGTACCAGAGAGGCAACTTCAAAATCATTTACAGAACTTTGTTCTGTATCCTTTGAAGTGCTTTTTTCCTGGTAGTGCAACAGCTAGACCATATTGGCGCAGCGTAAAGCATGGCCGGTCTAAGTTAATTTTTGGTCAAGTACTAATCCAAGATATTTCACTTGGTTTGACCAGGAAATTGGAACTTCGTCTATAGTGACTATGTGACTACCACTAGGTTTCAAAAGGAAGCTCTAGGCTTATGTGGAAATATTATAAGTTGAGTTTTGGAAGTGTTGGGAGAAATCTTCCATTTTAGTAAATAAGAAGTGAAAATTTCTAAACTTTTCGGAAGTCTGCTGCAAATAACACGAAGATTTCTTCCTTAAGCGGAAATGCCTGTGTCATCAGCGAACAAAGAGTTGTGGCAACCCTGAGGCAAATCAGGGAGGTCCGAAGTGAAAATGTTATACAATATAGGCCCAAGAATGCTACCCTGAGGAACTCCTGCTCTAACAGATAGTCGATCAGATTTGGAATTTTGATAATTTACCTGCAGAGTTCTGTCAGTTAAATAATTTTGAACGAATTTCATAATGTAAAGTAGAAAATTAAACTTTTTCAATTTAGCAATCAAACCTTCATGCCAAACACTGTCGAATGCTTTTTCTATGTCTAACTCCAGTTGAGTGGCCTTCAGATTTGTTTGAACGAATTAAATTGGTAACTCTTAAGAGTTGATGAGTAGTTGAATGCCCATGGCGAAATCCAAACTGCTCATCTGCAAAAATTGAGTTCGTATTGATGTGAAGCATCATTCTATTTAAAATTATCTTTTCAAAAAGTTTACTTATTGAAGAAAGCAAACTTGTTGGACGGTAGCAAGAAGCTTCAGCTGGATTTTATACGGCTTCAAAATTGGAACAACTTTTGCATTTTCCATTTATCAGGAAAGTATGCCAAATGGAAACATCTGTTAAATAATTTTACCAAGAAAGACAAGGTACTCTCTGGGAGTTTTTTGATGAGGATATAGAAAATTCCATCATCACCTGGAGCTTTCATATTCTTAGTTATAGATTTTACTTCGTCCAAATCAGTCCCACAGGAATCATCAAAAATATTTTCCCGAGAGAAAATATTCAGATAATCCCGAGCAACCTGATTCTCAATAGGACTAGTAAGACCCAAACTGAAATTATGGAAACTCTCGAATTGCTTAGCAAGTTTCAGAGCTTTTTCCAAATTTGTGATCAAAATTTTACCACCTTCTTTAAACGCTGGAATAGGCTTTTGAGGCTTTTTTCAAAAATTTTGTGAGTTTCCAAAAGGGTTTGGAACTCGGGTCTATTTTAGAAACAATATTTTCAAAAGTCTTATTCCTCAGGGGAGAGAATCGCTTTTTAATTTGTTTTTGCAAATCCCGCCAGATAACTTTCATGGCAGGATCGCATGTTCTTTGATATTGTCTCCTACGGACATTTTTAAGACGGATCAAGAGCTGAAGATCGTCGTCTATTATAATTGAATCGAATTTAACCTCGCATTTTGGTACTGAGGCAGCTCTTGCTTCAACTATAGAAGTAGTCAGAGATTCAAAAGCATAATTAATTTCATCTTTGGTTTGCAAAGGAATGTTTGGATCGAAGTTATATTCCATAAATGTTCGATATTGCTCCCAATCAGCTCTATGGTAATTGAAAGTAGAGCTGTTGGGATTTCAAATTATTTCTTGGGATATTTCAAAAGTTACTGGAAGGTGATCAGAACCGAAGTCAGCATGGGTAACCAATTGGATACAAAGTTGACATGAATCAGTTAAGACTAAATCAAAAGTTGAGGGATTTCGTGCTGAAGAAAAGCATATTGGACTGTTTGGATATTGAATAGTGTAATAACCTGCAGAACAATCATCAAACAGAATATTACCATTGGAATTAGCGGTGTTTAGGATTAAAATCACCAATAATGATGAATTTAGACCTATGACGGGTATTTTTCTGAAGGTCATCCTTGATAAATTTTTTTTGCTGGCCTACGCATTGGAATGGCAAATAGGCAGCTTTAAACGTAAGGGGTCGTCCAGTTATTAGTTATTAGTTGTCATTCAGTGCGGACGCGTTTTCAATTTGCTCGTAGCCACGTGCGTTTTCGTGGTATAGCACATTATTTTTTTTTTGGCGTGCTCTTCGTTTATTATTCTTGTGTGTTATTTTTGACAAAATGAGCTGCGAAATTTGTTCACTGGAAACTACCGTCGATACGGAATTGTGGAGCTGCATCGGGTGTGCGCGCTCATTTCATGCCTCCTGCGTGGGAGTCTCAGTTCAACGTGGTTCTCTACGGAAAAGGGACAAAAAGATTGATGTGCAATCTTACGTGCTACCGTGCTGCAGTTCTTGCCAAGTGCTCGTCACGTTGTAATTTGATCTTAGATTGCTAATTGATCAGCATAAGGCCTTTGAAAAACAACTGGATACCAACACGCAAGTTTTGCCCCTACCCGGCGTGCGATGTTTACCCACGTACCGTTACAGCGCACTTGCATAACGGGATGGCTGCAACTGCATCATGCGAGGCGTGTGTAT